ACCTTCAATAAAAAAGACAGTCATTAAGGTAATTGTCCCCAAGGTTTTCTTTTGTTTCTAATGCCTAGTCTGACTGCAAAACATTGACTTTTAAAAGGCTGATTGTAATATCTCATGAGAGGTTGGAATTTTTTTAATGATAATGTTTTCTGAGAAACCTCGTGATATGTCCCTTATTCAAAACTCCAGCTGGTGACATTTGCGTTCAAGCAATTTACAAGTGCTTTGGGACCTTACCCTGCATGAGGGGCACTATATAAATGCAAGTTGTTGTTGTTACAGTTCTTTCCGCAAATGAATATCCTTCTTGGTATAATATTGTAAAATAATTATTCATCCCAATTTTCCTCACTTCTGTTTACTCCATTTAACATATCACAGTAACAAATGGGTGGATGAGACAAAAATATTTGACAGTGAGAGGAATATTTTGGAAACATCTGCATACTTGTTACACTAATGATTTTGCTATTGATTTCCTTGAAAACCACATAAAACACTATCTGTACTAAACCACCAAATTTGTACAGTAAGAGGAAATTAAAGTCTTAAATACATTTTACTAAAATAGTTTTAAATGCTACAGATTAGTTTTTAATAGACCTGACTCTTCCTCCCTATTTCCATCACAGTTCAGACTATATATTGATAAACAGACTGGATAGGAATATGAATCTAGTATTTAGATTTATTGCAAAGACACATTTAGTGGCAAGAGAGCTTTAATCATGTTCAATTACCACTGAGTTCTAATGTACAATTTTCCAAGCCATTGCTTTTTACCTTAATAACAGCAGTAAGTTAAGTCATCCAGGCATGGGGTGTCAGTAATGAACTGAGTTAAGTGCTGGAACAAGCTGGAAATAAAGTCCATGACCCATATCAGTCACATATAGTGCTACTAATGGTAAAGTTGATTGAAAATTGGTGAGTGGTGATATAAGAAATCCCAGCTTCACATTCTCATTGGCTGAGAGAAGGACCAGACCCTGGAGGTGGCAGTGTGTAGGAAGATCTACCAAATCTTCACATGATATGGGTGTCATAATACAACACATGCTGGGACTTTGAACTCACAGTCTAGGCTGACACTCCAATGCAGAGCCCAGAGTGTGTTGCAAATATCAGACCTATGTAACATGGAAACATTATCTTACAAGTGGGAAAACCTGACTGGTTACAAGATATCCAGGATGAGTAGTTATCAGTGAATCATAATTAATATTTCTAATGGGAAATAGCTGGAATAATGAGTATGTGACGAGTTATGTGTGGTTGATTCCCTACCCAAGGGGTAAGTAATCAGAGTTTCACTGTAAATGTAAATTGTACAGTAGTGTATATATAACCTCTGGCAAATATAGCATTATGAAATCTTCCTGCACATCAACAATGCATTTAAATAGCACCTTGCACCAAGGATAGTGTCTTGGCGTGCTGCACAGTGGCACTGTTGAATACCAAATGAGGAGGAGGGGGGGGTCAAAGAGTCGGTGAGGTCAAAGAGGTAAGTCTTAAGGTAGGATTTAAGCATCATCAACAGAATGCAGAGGAGATGAAAATAACATTCTTAAAACATATTTGAAACAAAATTAGTTTGATTTTTATTATGTACATTACCCTTTTTAAACATTGCTACTCTCAGCAAATAAACAGCAAAATATCCATTTTGATATATTAATATCAAAGATTTTGGCACAGACAGTGAAACAAATATCTCTCAGCTTTTCCAGAACCATTTCATTTCCAAATACAAGATGATGTGAACTGTCAGTGGATTACTGGGAATATGTTGCATTGCTGGAAGCCTGTCTTTTGGATAAAATATTAAACCAAGTTCCTATTTGCCTGCTCGTCAGGAAGTTAAAGATCCTAAGATTTCTCCCAGTATCCTGGACAGCGGTCCTCTGGATTCATTGGTCATCCTCCGCACGGATATTTATGGGGACTGCCCACCATGCTTGCCACCAAAAACATTACACTTAACTGTTATTATTGTAAGATGCTCTGAGATGATTTAACATGAAAAGCAGTTCTTTCTTTCTTAATGATAACCCCAAAAAGAATGTCAATATGACATTGACATTTCCCAGACAATTTACCACTCCAGCCTTGGAGTGGGTTTGACCAATTATTACCAAATTATGAGCAATTTTGTACTGAGGCATGGAGTCCACTAGAAATTATGTAGATAATAATCTTCACAACTATCCGAGGACGGAAATTGGTATTTGCCTGGGCTGCATTTGAACTCAGGACTGTGTTTGCGCCAAACAGATTTCCTTTCCTTCCTCTCCATTTTCTGGAAATGTGTTTAAAAATAATAATGAAACAAATGTGAAGCACAGAACATCATCAGTAAAATCTTCACATAAGCAGTTGGCTTCTTTTGTTCGATTTTTATGCAAAATGTCTGCAATCTCGAGGTTTAAAAGCATTATTTTAGATTTCCTACATCACGGAGCATTGATTTGGGATGCAGACTCTTCAACAGTCTTACTGTAGCCTTTTATCCTTAGGGAGTGAGCTACTTCTTTCAGGTTCCATTAACAGCACTTCCTGGAAACTGCTTCTCAGCAACCATCAATGTCAATGTTAATTTGCCTGTGATAGGGGAAGCAACCATTGCTAGAGAGAATATGCATCAAGTACAGATCGGGAATACATGAATTTTTAATTCCTTTGAATAAAAGCTCCAGGGGCAATACAACAAAGCATTTCTCTCAGCTTCTTTCCAAGATTTTTACATTGGGATAAAAGTGAAAATATACAGACTCCAAAGGAACTGCAAAATAGTTTGCTGCAGCTGTGAAATGAAGTGCTTTATGTTCCTCTCTGCTTCCCTGAAGTGCTATGTGTTCTATTTTTCAAATTCAATGCTCATGAGGAACATTTGATCTCAGCTGCTTTGGTCAATATAATATGGAACAGTTCTTTATTGTTAATTCTCATCATGGATTCAGTAAAAGGTTTGCAAGCTCCATTGAGACAATTTAATGATATTTAGTATCCTTTAGTCAATTAATCTATTGGTTGGTATCCATCAATATCGTGCTGTTTAAAAGTGAATTTTATGCTTTCCCAAATTGTATTTAATTGTACATTTCCAGATTCCTGGAAGTAGCTTATCCCTTCTCCATTTAAATCAGTTGTTACATTAAAGGGAAGTTGTCAGCCTGCTCATTTGGTAGGACTTTTGCCTCTGAGTCAGAAGGTTCTGGGTTTACGCCCCACATCAGGACTTTGAGCTCACAGTACTTGTGGACACTGCAGGGCTGTGGAGGGGAGTGCTATGTTTCAGAGGTGCCGTCCTTCATATGGGACGTTAAACAAAGATCCCATCTGCCTGTTCAGGTGGATATTAAAGATTTCATGGCATTATTTGAAAAGGCAAGGGAGTTTTCTCCCAGTGTCCAGGCCAACAATTCCCCGCACCCCCTGCCCAGCCCCCACCCCCAAAAAAGAAAGCTCATTTACTATATGGCTGCTTGTGAGACATTACTGTATACAAGTTGCCTGTCCGGTTTTACCCACAAAATACACAGATACTACACTACACAGTAAATCCTGTGGAGTGCTTTGAGATATCAAAAGGCAACATGAAATACATTATGTTAAATGCAAGGTTGATGATAATTATTATTATTGTTATTATCATTATTATTATTGAGTTGTTAAACCAAGATCCAAAGCATTTTCTCCTTGTGTCTTGGCCAACAATCCTCCAGTGAAAATTGCTCATTCACTTCATGGCTGTTTGCGGGACTATTTTCTGTTTTGAATCTTATTTTTTTACTTAAAATGAAATAAAAATAGACTTGCAGTTCAAGGAGGATAGTCAGAATTTAGTCCAAATTAAATAACATCATTACTTGCCAGTAGTAAAATTGAAGAGTCAACAATGAAATCAACAGCTTTCATTTATATAGCGCACTTCACACAGAATAGTGACTTGAAGTGAAAATATACTACATGTATAAACAGGATTAATGATTTAATCACAATGAAGACATGATTTGATTCAAAACTCCACAGCCTGTATTCTCACCCGCACCAAACTCCACACTCCCATCACCCAGTCCTTGCCAGGCTTCCTATTGCACAATGAATCAACTTCAAATCCTCACACTTACTTACAAATCAATTCATGCCGTGGCACCTCCCTACCTCTCTGACCTGCTTACACTCCACTCAGCTCTCTCTAACCTCCTACATCACCACTCTTCATCACCACTCCACCAACAGCGGCTCTGCTTTCAGTCACTAAGCCTCCAATCTCTGGAACTCTTTACCTCAATTCCTTCACATTGACCTCTCCTTGACAATCTTCAGATCACATCTGACGGCACCTACAGACACCTCTCTCCTCTCCTCAGTTCGGCGTCAAATTCCACTGTTAAATGCTTTGAGACGCTACTACAGGGCAGTATATAAATGCAAGTTGTTGTTGGTGTAAATGCCTTGGTAAGTCACTTCACTATAGACTACAATATGAGATGACTGTAACACAGGCGGGGAATCACCTTCAAGTGAAGAAATTAAAAAAGTAGAATTGTGATAATTCAGTTAGCATAGTATGATGGTACTTTTTCTAACATTTTTAAAAAAAGATTATATTTTAATATCTGTTGACTTGTTCAAATAACTTAAACAACAATTTCCATTTATACAGCGCTTTTCATGTCAGAAGCATTTCTCAAAGCGCTTCACATGGTTAAACTTACAGTGAAAATTTGCAATGATTCTAAATATTGTTGGTTCGAGTACATTGTCTTTCATTTGTTACAGTTTTAAAGAATGATTGATTATTTTCAACCTTATTCAAACACTAAACATCTAATATTACAGAAGACAGCTCATAATACTGCCATAGTTCTGACGAAAAGACATTGACCTGAAACGTTAACTCATTTTCTCTCTCCATGGATGCTGCTTGACCTGCTGCGTGTTTCCAGTGACTCCTGTGTTTATATCATAACGCTACCTCTGTTTTGTCCTAGGACCCAACTGTTTTGCAGGAATAACTGTGATCCCAGCCGGCCGAGAGATGAAGATTGATGAATGCACTACTTGCCATTGTTCCTACGAGGGTGACACTTGGAAGGTTGACCTCCAGGCAACGTGCATCAAACATGACTGCAAAGAAATCTAGAGAAAAGATTGTATAGTGAAACAAAAAAAAGCCTTTGTTATTTTGGGTATTAAATAAGACTGAAGAAGTTTTTTTTGTATATAGTATACTGTATTGCATACCGTACTTGTATTTAATTAGCTAAATTATTTGTACTAAATTTAAGCAATAAAAGGTGACTAGTATATTTCAAGCATCATAATTTGACCTATTTAATTTTCAGTGGGTGAAGAAGACTATAGCTTCCAGCAGTTCTCTGCTACTACAACTACACTGTATGATTCAATCAAACTTAACATGAGGATGATAAAAGATTGAAGATCCAGAGGTCAAGAAAGCTGTAAAAGTGCATTACCAATATTGGTTGAAGAATTATCACCGTATTAGATTACAATAGCTAAAGTGCAAAAATATAACCTTTTTTTTGTAGCTATCAATAACTGCTATTCCAGACCATGTCTGGGTTATTGGGAGCCCTCGGGGTCAGAAGCTCCATGTCAGAACTTTGAGCTCCTAGCTGAGGATGATACTCTAATTCAGTACTGGAGAGCACTACAACAAGAGGTGCCATGCTTCAGGTTAGATGTTAACCCAAGGTGTCCACTGCCTATGAGGTGGATGTTAAAGATCCCAACCTTACTTGGAAAAACAATGGTATCTCAGTCAGCAATCCTATTGATAATATTGATAATTTATGTAGTAGCTTTTTGTGACAAATTGGCTGCCACATGTGCCTACAAAATACAGTCACTTACACTTTTCAATAATTTCCAATGAAGTACTTTCAAACAGGGGTTAGTATTATGAAGAGATTTCAAGATGCTCCCATTGCATACAGCAATTGGAAATTCAAAAGGCTGTTTCCAGCAAGTCAACATGAATTATTTCAATGCTGAATTCTTCATTTATTTTGGTACTTGATTTCTCTTCAGTGGTTTATTTTTTCCCTTCTTTTATTGTCTCTCTGTACCAAGCAGAATCCCAAGCCAAGAAAGCTAGCAGGAGGCCTGTATGCAGTTTTCTGCTTATTTTTCCCTAACAGCAAAGAGCAACCCCAAGTGACTCTGTCCCCCCAAGACTTTTTCTTCTCTCCCTATCAGGAATCCCCTTCTCTCCACTTGGCATCTTCCGCTGTTAACACGGCTGAGGTCAGTAACTCACTGTAAGGAGAATCACAAAGGCAAACTTATGTTCCATTCGTATGAATGTTCTCCATGTTAATTGATGTTTACATGCTTCTCTACCCTGCAGCACAGTGGTAAATGGTAACCGAAACAAATGGTTAGCAAGAGTCAAAATTATTTGTAAATTACAAATCCTGCAAGTACACGGACAACTCTCAGGTAAACCTCTGGATCTTCCCAGGGATGCCAACCTCTCTCTCTCTTGATCTCCATGAAGCCAGATTGGGTCAAAAAGTAGGATCCTGGCACTTGCAGATTTTTTTTTCCATTAGATGAACTGGTGCTTTGCCATCTGGGTTGATATTAGTCACATTTCTGTAATTCTTCTAAAAACCTACAGAAAACTGGCTTCTACATTAAGACTGAATTAAGCATTGGTCAAAATTTGCCAAATATGTGCTAATGTATTAAGAAATAAATCTAAGTCTACACCCAGGTGAAATGATATGGAGGTAAAAGTCTTGAGTACGCCAACTGCCTGCTCGCTGGACTTCCCAACTCTTCCCTCCACAAGCTGTAGATTATTCAAAACTTTGCAGGTCGTGTCCTCTCCTGCACCAAGCTCTGCGAACCTATCACACCCATTTTTGCCTGGCTTCATTGGCTCCCGATCCTGCAGAGAATTGAGTACAAATCCCTCGTTCTCACCTTCAAAGCCCTCCACGGTCTTGCTCCCCCTCTACCTCTGTGACCTCCTACCCCATATCAGCCTGTCCGCTCCCTCCCTGTACTTCCTGCCCCACCATTGGTGGTTGGGAATTCAGCATCTCTGCCCTCATGCTCTGGATCTCTATCCCGCAATCCCTCTACCTTACTCCCTCTCTTGCCTCCTTCAAGTTCCGTCTAAAGACCTTCCTTTTCGACCGTGCCTTCAGCCTGGTGGACGTCAAAGATCCATGGCAGATTTCCAAAGGAGAAGGGCGTTTATTCCGGTGTCCTGGCTAACAATCCTCAAATAAAAGTGGTCATTCACTCCACACTGTCCGTGGAACATTCCTGTGTGCAAATTGGCTGCTGCATTGTGCCTACAAAATATATACAGCCACATCAATTTACAAAACAATATATCCTGCAAAGTGCTTTCAGACATGTTGATGACATGATGAGATGCTCGATAAAATACAAGCATTTTTAATATTATTTATAATAAGAAAAGATAATTGCTGTATGTTGAAACTCTTAAGTAAAAGCAGTAATTGTATTCCATGGTCTGACCGCTCTGGTTCAGTCCAAAGCTCCAGTCCTTGTAAAATGCAATAGAATTGCTTTGGAACAAAGACAGATCCTCCATGTAACAGACGGCACCAGAAGAGTACGGAAACATCACCCAGGAGCAGGTACAAGACATTTAAGATACATGATTCAGGTTTTTAATTCACACAGAAGAATGGATAAAGTAAACGAAAGTAAGGTATTTCACCTAGATTGTCAGCATATATTTAGACTACATTAGTTTAAATTATAAGGCCTGACTTGAGATAATTTTCCTCATAAATTTGTGAATATGCATGAATATATGAATAGAATCCTGGAATGCATTGATTAATAATGCTTTTAACATAGAAGTGGTTGAATATCCAATTAGAGAGGAAATGATGGATATAACGATAAGAATACATGGAGACAAATGTAGCTATGTAGAACATGATTGATCCTTACCTATGGAATTACTATGCCAAGGAAGGCAATTGGCTCAGAATGTTTACTGTCAGTTGTGGCATTAGACAGATACTCATTCTGGAAACTTAATAGCCCCTTTATAAGTGAAGAGATGTACTGAGCCTTTCGCGAGGGAATTAAATAATAGCTTTAAACAGGCTTCACAGTCAATGGAATTTAAGTGAACTATAGAAATTCACGGCACAGAAGAAGGCCATTTGCCTCATCGTGTCTGTGTCGACTCCTTCAAGAACAATCCACTTTACTTACACTTTCCCCAGAACTTTGTAGCTGACTCTTTTTAAGATATATGTTTAATTCCCCTCTTGAAGGGCAATATGCCTCAACTATGGCTCCTGGCAGGGCATTCCATATCCTATCTACTCACAAATATATTAGGCCTTTTCTTGTTCCTTGTTTATTTTGTGCCACTAGAAAAGTTAAGCACGCCACTATTCAGCCCATCGTGTCTGTGTCAGCTCCCTCAAGATTGCTCCACTATCCTGCATAAAGAGCACCATTGTTAAGGGACATTAAGAGAAACGTCTCCATGAAGAAATTCTTATAAATATGATTTCCACGCATATGGAGNAAAAATGGAAAAAATGTCCACTTTTCTATGAGGTATGGAATTCTATGGAGCAGCTGCACTTTATAGGTCAAAGGAAAGGAAACCTAAATTGGTTTATCCGTGTTCCTTCCAATACCTAACACTGTAAAGTTATTCCTGTAAATCACACAAATCCCTGCATATATGAGCAATGTTAATAGAATTTTGCCTCACAACTTTGTAAGTTGCAAGACAGTGGATTTTAACAAGTTATGCTGCATCCTTTATCTGGTTGCCTGAGAAATTGCAATTAAACCTTGAGCCACAAATGGTATTCCTATGGAAATAATCACATACCAAATCACTTGAAAGCATTGTTCCTTCTAGCCCTTTTCTAAAAGAATTGTGTCTCCATTAACACTCGTTCATAACTATCCTGGAGCACACACAATCAACAGATGCAGTCAAACCAATCCATCCCCAGGCTGGAAAGCACTGCATATTTTGTAATAACTCTTGAGATAAATTATATTAATTTGCTGCATTTTTACAAACATAAATAGTAATCTCAGAAGTGATAGCTTTGAATATATTCTTGTGAAAGATCATCATTAACATGTTTGCCAAGGCTCGCATTTATTTGGGAAGGTTTAAGCTTAAACCTCAGAATGCTGATGTGCATCAGAGTGCTTCTTATTTGATGGTTCATTGTCAAAAAATAATTTTTGTAAGCAGCCTGAGTTCATGGTCATAGAAGTCAGTGCTGAAGCTAGCACTGGAGTGTGAGTATTTATCCTGTTTGTTTACTGCCGGGACACAAAACACCCAGATGTATAGAAATATGGAGTGGTAAACCTGATTTATTCTTCTTGTTGCAAAACAAAGATTTACAAACAATACCCGTTTTGGTGTGCTGTACATAGACATCTTAGCACCTGCAAATGAGCTGATGAAGAAATTCTGGTGCTTGGGGCTACAGCTACTGGAAGGCACTCCCTGAAGTCTGAGTTTGTGAACACGTATTCATACATCCAGCTCTTGGAGTCTATGTTGATTAGTTTGCAGAGAGGTACCCAGCTGCTGCTCAAGCTACACACCTCCAAGGAAGGCAGGAAGATGGTGGCAATGCTCCCATGCACTTCATGCTGAACTGTGCCCACCAGGAGGCTCACAAGGAATTCCTGGTCTGCAGTATTCCAGAGCACTGCTGATGACAACCCAACCAGCCTGGCTCATCAGCAGGACTTGGAAGGGTGGACCAGTCACTGTGGGCAGGGACTCTTCATACACAACTCCTTTTTATCCTGCAAGCCAAGTCACTTACAGGTAGAGTTGTCCCAGCTGGACAAGCAGCAGGAAAACTTGTTAGACCATGCTTTCAATGGGAAGCTATGCAGTTTTAGCGAATTAGACTCCAGCTGTATTGCAACCTCAGCCCTTGCTGGTCTGTGCCTAATACTCTCTGGAGTTGGATAATACACACTCTCCCTTCAGAGAGAGAGTGCGCATTCCATTCCAACAAATATCTCTGGAATCTCCATGTGTAGGTGGGATACATGGAATTCTCAGTTTGTTTTGGATACTCTTAAACATGATGAGGGGTTTCCACACGTGTCAGACACCCAGCTGACCAGAGAAAATGGCTGCAAAGAACATTGAAATTGGTTTTAAATGTTTTAAATTGATGG